TGTGTACAAGGGTGAACAATCGTGTACAAGGATGTACAAGTTTGTACAAGTGTGTACAAGTTTGTACAAGGTTGTACAAGTGTGTACAAGGATGTACAAGTTTGTACAAGGGTGCACAAGTGTGTACAAGGGTGTACAATCGTGTACAAGATTGTACAAGTGTGTACAAGGGTGTACAGGTTTGTACAAGGTTGTACAAGGTTGTACAAGTGTGTACAAGGGTGTACAAATGTGTACAAGGATGTAAAAGTTTGTACAAGTGTGTACAAGTTTGTACAAGGTTGTACAAGTGTGTACAAGGTTTTACAATTGTGTACAAGGTTGTACAAGTTTGTACAAGGGAGTACAAGTTTGTACAAGATTGTATAAGTGTGTACTGGGTTGTACAAGTGTGTACAAGATTGTATAAGTTTGTACAAGGTTGTACAAGTGTGTACAAGGGTGTACAAGTGTGTACAAATGTGTACAAGTTTTACAAGGTTGTACAAGTGTGTACAAGGTTGTACAAGTTGTGTACAAGGTTGTACATGTGTGTACAAGGGTGTACAAGTTTTTACAAGGCTCTACAAGTGTGTACAAGGTTGTACAAGGCTGTACAAGTGTGTACAAGGTTGTACAAGGTTGTACAAGTGTGTACAAAGGTGTACAAGTTTTTACGAGGATGTACAAGTGTGTACAAGGTTGTACAAGTGTGTACAAGGCTGTACAATTGTGTACAAGGTTGTACAAGTGTGTACAAGGTTGTACAAGTGTGTACAAGGTTGTACAATTGTGTACAAGGCTGTACAAGTGTGTACAAGGTTGTACAAGTGTGTACAAGGCTGTACAATTGTGTACAAGGTTGTACAAGTGTGTACAAGGTTGTACAAGTGTGTACAAGGCTGTACAATTGTGTACAAGGCTGTACAAGTGTGTTCAAGGTTGTACAAGTGTGTACAAGGTTGTACAAGTGTGTACAAGGTTGTACAATTGTGTACAAGGTTGTACAAGTGTGTACAAGGTTGTACAAGTGTGTACAAGGTTGTACAAGTGTGTACAAGGTTGTACAATTGTGTACAAGGTTGTACAAGTGTGTACAAGGTTGTACAAGTGTGTACAAGGTTGTACAAGTGTGTACAAGGTTGTACAAGTGTGTACAAGGTTGTACAAGTGTGTACAAGGTTGTACAAGTGTGTACAAGGTTGTACAAGTGTGTACAAGGTTGTACAAGTGTGTACAAGGTTGTACAAGTGTGTACAAGGTTGTACAAGTGTGTACAAGCTTTTACAAGTGTGTACAAGGTTGTACAAGTTTTTACAAGGTTGTACAAGTGTGTACAAGGGTGTAAAATCGTGTACAAGGATGTACAAGTTTGTACAAGTTTGTACAAGGTTGTACAAGTGTGTATAAGGATGTACAAGTTTGTACAAGGGTGTACAAGTGTGTACGATAAGTAAAAGTGTGTACAAGGGTGTACAAGGTTGTACAAGTGTGTACAAGGTTTTACAATTGTGTACAAGGCTGTACAAGTGTGTACAAGGTTGTACGATTGTGTACAAGGCTGTACAAGTGTGTACAAGGTTGTACAAGTGTGTACAAGGTTGTACAAGTGTGTACAAGGTTGTAAAAGTGTGTACAAGGTTTTACAAGTGTGTACAAGGTTGTACAAGTGTGTACAAGGTTGTACAAGTGTGTACAAGGTTGTACAAGTGTGTACAAGGTTGTACAAGTGTGTACAAGGTTGTACAAGTTTTTACAAGGTTGTACAAGTGTGTACAAGGGTGTAAAATCGTGTACAAGGATGTACAAGTTTGTACAAGGTTGTACAAGTGTGTACAAGGATGTACAAGTTTGTACAAGGGTGTACAAGTGTGTACGATAAGTAAAAGTGTGTACAAGGGTGTACAAGGTTGTACAAGTGTGTACAAGGTTGTACAATTGTGTACAAGGCTGTACAAGTGTGTACAAGGTTGTACAATAGTGTACAAGGCTGTACAAGTGTGTAAAATGTTGTACAAGTGTGTACAAGGTTGTACAAGTGTGTACAAGGTTGTACAAGTGTGTACAAGGTTGTACAATTGTGTACAAGGTTGTACAAGTGTGTACAAGGTTGTACAAGTGTGTACGAGGTTGTACAATTGTGTACAAGGTTGTACAAGTGTGTACAAGGTTGTACAATTGTGTACAAGGCTGTACAAGTGTGTACAAGGTTGTACAAGGTTGTACAAGTGTGTACAAGGGTGTACAAGTTTTTACAAGGTTGTACAAGTGTGTACAAGGTTGTACAAGTGTGTACAAGGCTGTACAATTGTGTACAAGGTTGTACAAGTGTGTACAAGGTTGTACAAGTGTGTACAAGGTTGTACAATTGTGTACAAGGCTGTACAAGTGTGTACAAGGTTGTACAAGTGTGTACAAGGCTGTACAATTGTGTACAAGGTTGTACAAGTGTGTACAAGGTTGTACAAGTGTGTACAAGGTTGTACAATTGTGTACAAGACTGTACAAGTGTGTACAAAGTTGTGCAAGTGTGTACAAGGTTGTACAAGTGTGTACAAGGTTGTACAATTGTGTACAAGGTTGTACAAGTGTGTACAAGGTTGTACAAGTGTGTACAAGGGTGTACAATCGTGTACAATGATGTACAAGTTTGTACAAGATTTTACAAGTGTGTACTGGGTTGTACAAGTGTGTACAAGATTGTATAAGTTTGTAAAAGGTTGTACAAGTGTGTACAAGGGTGTACAAGTGTGTACAAATGTGTACAAGTGTGTACAGGGGTGTACAAGTTTGTACAAGGGTGTACAAGTTTTACAAGGTTGTACAAGTGTGTACAAGGTTGTACAAGTTGTGTACAAGGTTGTACATGTGTGTACAAGGGTGTACAAGTGTGTACAAGGTTGTACAAGTGTGTACAAGCTTGTACAAGTGTGTACAAGGGTGTACAAGTGTGTACAAGGTTGTACAAGTTTTTACAAGGTTGTACAAGTGTGTACAAGGGTGTAAAATCGTGTACAACCCAGGTAACAAAAAAAGTTTGAGAAAGGTTTGCCACAAACCTTTTTTGTCAAACCTTTAAACTTGCTTCAAGTGTATAACGGCAAGCTTGTACACTTGGGGCAAGCTTGTAGCAAACCTCCTAGTTCCCATCAGACAAGCTTGCCACAGGCCTTCCGATTAAACTTGTCACAGGCCTTCTGTACAAACTTCTCAAAGGCCTTCTGATTAAACTTGCCACATGCCTTCTGGTTAAACTAGCCACACACCTTATGTTTAAACTTGACACAAACCTTCTGTTCAAACTTGTCACAGGCCTTCTGTTTAAACTTATCACAGGCCTTTTATTAGAACTTAGAAACTGGAACAGATATATTTTGTTCCATAAAATAAATTAATAAATCATCGAAAATATAGCTCAGATAAAAATGAAGCACAATATGTTTATGTTTCATAGTAATGTATGTTAATAAATTAAATAAATTTATAAATGTAAATAAATTAAATTTTGTTTGGCCAACAAAACTTTTTACTTTGCCAGATAGAGAATGATAGGTTTTAAAAATAGACTTGGGACTGTAGGCTAATTAGAGATAAATGTGTTGGATCCTGTTTGAAAATAAAAGTAACTAATTGCTAACTAAAAGCCAAAATAAAGCACTGAGCAATAAATAAATATGTTTTATGACAACTGTTCATTTCATGGTAATACAATCATTTTAAGAAATGTATGGGTTTCGAAAAGGTATTTTACTTAAAAATTATTTTTGTCAAATGCCTACAAACTAACCGTAAGATAGCTTTGTAAGGTTAAGTAGGGCAATATCAGACTTGTTATCAGAAGTCTAATGTGCCCTAAATACAGCTTTCAGAACTAAATCAGTAGTTTCATTTTTACTCAAAGCAAATTTAATATAAATGCCTCTAATAGAAAAACTTGAATGTTATTAGAGGAAATGCTAAACAGAGCTAACTCCTTGGTTGAATTTAAATTGACAACATATAATAGACCTAACACAGTACTGTATTAGTTACATAGCTTTAAGCTTTACTAAGCCGTAATGACAAAAAATGAAACAAATTTATTCCTATACCTACAGTTGATTTCAAACTAATTGAGAAATTATCTTAATCAGAGAAGTTTTGACAATGGAAATCAAACAAAGTAAAAGTGCACTTAACATTTTATATTCTGAAAATATTTACACAGGTTTAAATTACAATTCGTACAGTATTCAGTCATCAGAACACTCTTCAGCAGCGGGTGTTGCTTGCTGTCTGTTAGACCTGAAAAACAGAAATTTTTGTTGTCTCAATAAAATTGATGTTTTGTAGTATTTTTTTAAGTTGCCATACATGTATTCCCTCAATAAATTATGTGACTTTGCCAAATTTATGGATTACTAGCTGTAACCCGCGGGCTTTGCCCCGTTTAACTTCTTAATTTTCAAGATTATCTTGTTCGCATGGCTCAATCACGTCCTGGTTGAAGTTTGTTCGCTACGCTCACTCACCTTTAGGTTGGAGCTCGTTCGCTACGCTCACTCACCTTTAGGTTGGAGCTCGTTCGCTACGCTCACTCACCTTTAGGTTGGAGCTCGTTCGCTGCGCTCACTTGCCTTCAGGTTAGCTCGTTCGCTACGCTAACTCGCCTCCAGGTTGAAGTTCGTTCGCTACGCTCACTCACCTTTTGGTTGCAAATTAGCTGTTGTCATAAATGTAAAAGAAATAATAGTGCTGCACCCTGTTGGTAATCCTTGTAACTTTAATGCTATTGAACATCATAGAACAGAACCAACTTGTTTAATTGAAACAGCTGTTAAGATTCAATAATTCCATTTCTCATAAGGTTAACATGGGAAACTCCAGAGCCACTGGGGCGGAGCCCGAAAGGATTTTTGAAATAAGGATATGCCTATATGTTAATCGGGAATGTGAGCTATCATCATGCCAAATTTCAGCCCAATCTGACCAGTATTTTTCGAGTTTACTTTTCCCATACACACATACAGCAACCACCTCTTTTTTATAATAGTATAGAAGATAGATAATTTCCTTTAGAGCTGAAAATTTTGATTATTCCTATGATGAGATAAATGTTACAAATATTGCTTTGTGTGTGAGCCAATTATTTGCAAAACAACTATATGGGCATGGTGTTCCAAATTTAATATATCTTTACTTAGGTTTCCAAATAAATTTAATTTTGGTCAGACTGAAATGAGAAAATAGAGGCTTTTACAGTTTATAAAGTCTATATCACTAAACCTTTTTCCATGACACTTGAAAAATTTCATACCGGTACTGTAGGTTTAAACCTTTATTAGTTGTTATAGCTTTCAGGGATTAGCTTCAAAACAATTTAAAAGTACCTATGTTTGACTTATTAAAGGAGTTCAAGTTTGAACTGTTTTATATTGTGTCAAAATTCAATAAATTTTAAACGTTTTAGAAGTATATTTGAACATTGTAAAAAGTACAAATGCTAAAACAAAACAATAAATTGGACAACTGACTCACAACAGAAAACAATAAATAATTAACCAATCAGCTGATGATATTAAAATATAGAAAAAATATAATATCATTAATTTATACTAGATCTAGTAGAATCTAGTATCATTTACTAATAAAACAGATGACAGGGATATTTGAGAGAGGAATGAGTGATGTTAATATTAGAGACGGCCTAAGACTAATGAATACTAAAATTTTAGGCCCGGTTCACACAAGCGACTTATCTAGCTGACTAGGCTGTGACTAGGTAAGCCCGACTGGGTAGAGGACTACAGGATTAAATGGAACCGTTCACACAAGCGTAGGGTGACGACTAGCGAGCCGCGTTCGAGCTTGGTGTCCCAAACTATTGTCGGGCCCCGCTTCCATTCCAAGTCACTCATGGCAGCTACCCAGTCACCCGCTCTAGCGGCGTAGCAGTACATGTAGCCCTATGGGAGGGTTCACACGAGCGATCGGTCGTCACGCTGCAGCTCGCATTCTTCCCTTTGTTCTCATTGTCGCCAGTGATGGATCCGAGTAACATTGATATCGATATTTGTATCGAATCATAATGAAGCAACGCCGTTTCTTTGGAACAATTATCTTTATAGGCCTATTATTAGTATTACAAGTTCAAATATAGGAATAAACTAAATATAAATTTGTAACCGATTAAGTTTATAAAATAATTTTATATTGGCCCTATACACTCTAAACAATGATGTTTGTTCAACCAAACTTTATAATAGTTTAAATGATAGCTTGTTGGGTGATTCCAATGCAAATTTAGTTTTGAAATGATTCGATAATTGTTTAAAACATCGTTATTGTCCAAAACATCAATGTAAAAAAAATTCACTTACCATTGACGCAAAAACATCAAATATTTCCAGAGAAAACATCGATGTATTAAAAACATCGTTTATCGATGCACATTCATTTACGTCACACTTGCGACCTAGTCCGTGGACATATCGCTCGTGTGAACCGGTGTATCCTTTGGTCCGCTACCCATTCGGGCTTACCTAGTTACAGCCTAGTTAGCTAGATAAGTTGCTCGTTGAACCGGGCCTAAGAAGCGAAATGCTCATGGAGAATAGTCAGCTTGGAATTTTGCCACCGAAATGAGCTTTGTGCAGCCGCACTACTCTTTCTTACTCGGTAAACTGACTTGGCCGCGCGTTCAAGATAGGCTACGCTGCCGATTTCGCAAGAAATGAAACATTAAAGGTAACAAACAATTTTTGCATACAATACCACTCTACATATAGGCTACATATGGTTTTTTTCACACTCAGTGGGGTATTAACTCAATATATAACTAACATTCAAATCTAATTTACTAGACTAGTGATGAAATATGATACTTTCCATGCACAAACCTGAGGCCCATGTGGACAGGTAAATGTGAGGTAAAAAGGTCAAATAAACCCTGAATTTAACTGGTTCTATTAATGTTTTATAGGTATGGCTAATGTTTTTAATAGATTTAGAATTTAATCTAAATGGCATTTTTACTAAGTACAATATCCAAACTAACAGAAGAACTTTGTACAGTTTCCAATGGCAACCTAAATACAGGGTGTCAATAGAACTCTTGGGGTTTTCATATCATAACAGATTGGAAATATGAAGTTAATTCCTTAATAACAGTTCAACTCATTGTACCAACCAATTGTCAATTTTTGGTCAGCCTTTGTTGGCAACACTGTGGCACATAGAATTTGAAAGAATCTAGAGCTGCAATGCCTTACGGAAAATGTTGCTATGGTGACGGGTGCTAGTAAATGAGGAGTTTTTTTATAAACGCCCTTTACTCATAATAATTTCTTATCACAAAGAAATAAGTACGGTACCGTAAATTGAAATAGGAAAAAATACCTCTTCATCAATCTGGGTGTGGCTTGCTGCAGCCACTTCTTGATTGAGTTCTTCATATTCTCAACCGATGTTTCTCAATGTTTTCTCCTGACAGCATCTATAAATCAGAAAAAGGTGCACTAAACATACAAAATGAGTAAAGTACCAGAGCAAAAATACCCCTGAAGCAGCAAACCTGTAGACTATCAATTTGTCTTAAACTGGATTTATGCTTAAAGATTTCCATAAAGCATATTTTGAATAAAGTTTGATCTAACTAGTAGGCCTACCATAGACAAAAAGAACGATATAGAAAGATATAGACTGTCAGCCGTGCAGTGGTTACCATAGGTTCTGGCACACAATGATGGGAGTGCCATGTAGTTACGTAGTGTGTAGGCCGTAACTGCAGCGCTCCCAACGGTGTGCGCCAGAACCTATGGTAACTGCAGCACAGCTGACGGTCTTTTTATATTTAATTCTTTTTGTCTATGCTAGTACTTAGGTTTGTTACTATGGGGAATGCAAAAATTTGTTTTATTGAGCAAATGTTAATATTAAGGTGAAATAGACTAAATAAAGTTGCTAAATTTGATCAACATAGGATATCTACAAACAAGCAAACTACATACAAAAGCTCGCTCCGGCACATAGCCTATTTTTATAATATATGTAGCCCTACCTAATGTCAAGATTTTCCACAAATGGGGAAAGGCGATAATTATGTTCCGTTACTGTAGGGGGTATTCAGGATTTTTATGTGACCGCGGGAGACAATAATCTTTAGGCCTACATAAATAACTTGATCTAAAGCAAAGTGACGTTTAACCGTTTCGATGCTAGAAAATTTTTTGGAATGTTCCGAAAAAAATTATAGGCTAAGTAAGAATTACAGGAGAATCTTGATAAAAAGGCTCTCAAGGGGATTATAAAATAAGACTTGTTATCAAGGTTGTCTTATTATCGAAGTTTAGCAATAACATGTGATTAGGGGTAAAATAAATTCTAGGGGATTTAAAAATGAGACTTGTTATAAAGGGTGACTTGTTATCGAGGGTCTTGTTATCACGGTTCCACTGTATTTACTTATTTCATCCGAAAAGTGCTAAGCTTGCCATGAGGGCAAAGTCTATTGTGTGAGAAAAGAATACGCACATCAACATTTTGATAATAATCAACTTAGGCCTAACTTTTATCCTTAAGGTACTCATCCAAAAACTTATTGCAGACAGTTCTATGTGAAACTGTAAGTACCCAGGGAGGGTAGACCTAAGTTTAGCCTAGTCCTTTTGATTGACTAAGTAGAGTCTATCAAGGCTAGCAGCCTACAGTCGAGGTAACACATGAGTTAGGTTAGCTAATTAGCTTAAGTTATTACGGCACCCTAACATAACAAATGAACATGAACATTCCCAATAGCAAATTACTAGGTGTTTTGACACTTTGTGACAGAATAAAATGTGCTGCAGTTAAAAAAAAATAAAGTAGGCCTAAGATTTATATCAGCCCTCAGGTTTATTGGGCTACCAATAACGAATCATTATTAAAACATTTCCTGGAAAGGTTTTTAACAAACACTAAATTGACTGCCAATTTTTCAAGTGATCAAGTGAAAACAGATTTTAAAAAAGTTAAGAAGGTATAAGATGTGATAAATGTACATCTGATGTACATAAATCAAAAATCAAATAGCCTAGGGCAGGCCTTTTAGCTAGGTACCGGTAAGACTTTTGTGAGTTAGGTCAAGACTAGGCCCAGGCTCTAAATCAAACGGTTGATGCTTAAATCATTATATTAATAACTTATAAACTTAAGTTATCTGGAGTTGGCTGCTTTAACTTATTTAAAATTACTGATTAACTTACGCTAAATCTAGGTTATTCTACTCACCTGAATATTGCAGTAGGTTTCAAAGTTATCGCCGAGGAAAACTACTATTAACCAAAAGCACTTATAAATTTACTTAGGCCTGTATACAAACTTTATAAACTTAAAAATTTAAACTTAACGCGAAATATAAACTCAAAACTTAAGGAAAAATAAACACTTAACCGAAAACAAGAAAGAACAAGCGCAGACGCCAGACGGCCAAACAAACACAAACAAATAAAATGGCGGTTGTTTTGTTATTGTGTAGTAGACTGACTAGCGCCGCTAGCGCTGCGATGGATGAAAATTACAACTACGTTGCTTGTCGTGATACACCTTCCACGAATTGGCCCCAAGCTGTTCCCCGTAAGCCTTCTTCACAAGCGTGCCACAAGTTTGGCACAAGTTGATATAAAAAGGCCTTTCCAGACAAGCCTTTGACAAGGCTTGCCGTAAGCTTACGTGTTACCTGGGAAGGATGTACAAGTTTGTACAAGTTTGTACAAGGTTGTACAAGTGTGTACAAGGATGTACAAGTTTGTACAAGGGTGTACAAGTGTGTACGATAAGTAAAAGTGTGTACAAGGGTGTACAAGATTGTACAAGTGTGTACAAGATTGTACAAGTGTGTACAAGATTGTACAAGTGTGTACAAGGTTGTACAAGTGTGTACAAGGATGTACAAGTTTGTACAAGGGTGTACAAGTGAGTACGATGTGTAAAAGTTTGTACAAGGGTGTACAAGGTTGTACAAGTGTGTACAAGGTTGTACAATTGTGTACAAGGCTGTACAAGTGTGTACAAGGTTGTACAATTTTGTACAAGGCTGTACAAGTGTGTACAAGGTTGTACAAGTGTGTACAAGGCTGTACAATTGTGTACAAGGTTGTACAAGTGTGTACAAGGTTGTACAAGTGTGTACAAGGTTGTACAATTGTATACAAAGTGTACAAGTGTGTACAAGGTTGTACAAGTGTGTACAAGGTTGTACAAGTGTGTACAAGGTTGTACAAGTGTGTACAAGGTTGTACAAGTGTGTACAAGGTTGTACAATTGTGTATCAGGTTGTACAAGTGTGTACAAGGTTGTACAAGTGTGTACAAGGGTGTACAATCGTGTACAAGGATGTACAAGTTTGTACAAGTTTGTACAAGTTTGTACAAGGTTGTACAAGTGTGTACAAGGATGTACAAGTTTGTACAAGGGTGCACAAGTGTGTACAAGGGTGTACAATCGTGTACAAGCTTGTACAATTGTGTACAAGGGTGTACAGGTTTGTACAAGGTTGTACAAGGTTGTACAAGTGTGTACAAGGTTGTACAATTGTGTACAAGGCTGTACAATTGTGTACAAGGCTGTACAAGTGTGTACAAGGTTGTACAAGGTTGTACAAGTGTGTACAAGGTTGTACAAGGTTGTACAAGTGTGTACAAGGGTGTACAAGTTTTTACAAGGTTGTACAAGTGTGTACAAGGTTGTACAAGTGTGTACAAGGCTGTACAATTGTGTACAAGGTTGTACAAGTGTGTACAAGGTTGTACAAGTGTGTACAAGGTTGTACAATTGTGTACAAGGCTGTACAAGTGTGTACAAGGTTGTACAAGTGTGTACAAGGCTGTACAATTGTGTACAAGGTTGTACAAGTGTGTACAAGGTTGTACAAGTGTGTACAAGGTTGTACAATTGTGTACAAGACTGTACAAGTGTGTACAAAGTTGTGCAAGTGTGTACAAGGTTGTACAAGTGTGTACAAGGTTGTTCAATTGTGTACAAGGTTGTACAAGTGTGTACAAGGTTGTACAAGTGTGTACAAGGTTTTACAAGTGTGTACAAGGGTGTACAATCGTGTACAATGATGTACAAGTTTGTACAAGATTTTACAAGTGAGTACTGGGTTGTACAAGTGTGTACAAGATTGTATAAGTTTGTACAAGGTTGTACAAGTGTGTACAAGGGTGTACAAGTGTGTACAAATGTGTACAAGTGTGTACAGGGGTGTACAAGTTTGTACAAGGGTGTACAAGTTTTACAAGGTTGTACAAGTGTGTACAAGGTTGTACAAGTTGTGTACTGGGTTGTACAAGTGTGTACAAGATTGTATAAGTTTGTACAAGGTTGTACAAGTGTGTACAAGGGTGTACAAGTGTGTACAAATGTGTACAAGTGTGTACAGGGGTGTACAAGTTTGTACAAGGGTGTACAAGTTTTACAAGGTTGTACAAGTGTGTACAAGGTTGTACAAGTTGTGTACAAGGTTGTACATGTGTGTACAAGGGTGTACAAGTGTGTAAAAGTGTGTACAAGGTTGTACAAGTGTGTACAAGCTTGTACAATTGTGTACAAGGGTGTACAAGCTTGTACAATTGTGTACAAGGGTGTACAAGTGTGTACAAGGTTGTACAAGTTTTTACAAGGTTGTACAAGTGTGTACAAGGGTGTAAAATCGTTTACAAGGATATACAAGTTTGTACAAGTTTGTACAAGGTTGTACAAGGTTGTACAAGTGTGTACAAGGGTGTACAAGTTTTTACAAGGTTGTACAAGTGTGTACAAGGTTGTACAAGTGTGTACAAGGCTGTAAAATTGTGTACAAGGTTGTACAAGTGTGTACAAGGTTGTACAAGTGTGTACAAGGTTGTACAATTGTGTACAAGGCTGTACAAGTGTGTACAAGGTTGTACAAGTGTGTACAAGGCTGTACAATTGTGTACAAGGTTGTACAAGTGTGTACAAGGTTGTACAAGTGTGTACAAGGTTGTACAATTGTGTACAAGACTGTACAAGTGTGTACAAAGTTGTGCAAGTGTGTACAAGGTTGTACAAGTGTGTACAAGGTTGTTCAATTGTGTACAAGGTTGTACAAGTGTGTACAAGGTTGTACAAGTGTGTACAAGGTTTTACAAGTGTGTACAAGGGTGTACAATCGTGTACAATGATGTACAAGTTTGTACAAGATTTTACAAGTGAGTACTGGGTTGTACAAGTGTGTACAAGATTGTATAAGTTTGTACAAGGTTGTACAAGTGTGTACAAGGGTGTACAAGTGTGTACAAATGTGTACAAGTGTGTACAGGGGTGTACAAGTTTGTACAAGGGTGTACAAGTTTTACAAGGTTGTACAAGTGTGTACAAGGTTGTACAAGTTGTGTACTGGGTTGTACAAGTGTGTACAAGATTGTATAAGTTTGTACAAGGTTGTACAAGTGTGTACAAGGGTGTACAAGTGTGTACAAATGTGTACAAGTGTGTACAGGGGTGTACAAGTTTGTACAAGGGTGTACAAGTTTTACAAGGTTGTACAAGTGTGTACAAGGTTGTACAAGTTGTGTACAAGGTTGTACATGTGTGTACAAGGGTGTACAAGTGTGTAAAAGTGTGTACAAGGTTGTACAAGTGTGTACAAGCTTGTACAATTGTGTACAAGGGTGTACAAGCTTGTACAATTGTGTACAAGGGTGTACAAGTGTGTACAAGGTTGTACAAGTTTTTACAAGGTTGTACAAGTGTGTACAAGGGTGTAAAATCGTTTACAAGGATATACAAGTTTGTACAAGTTTGTACAAGGTTGTACAAGTGTGTACAAGGATGTACAAGTTTGTACAAGGGTGTACAAGTGTGTACGATAAGTAAAAGTGTGTACAAGGGTTTACAAGGTTGTACAAGTGTGTACAAGGTTGTACAATTGTGTACAAGGCTGTACAAGTGTGTACAAGGTTGTACAATTGTGTACAAGGCTGTACAAGTGTGTACAAGATTGTACAAGTGTGTACAAGATTGTACAAGTGTGTACAAGGTTGTACAAGTGTGTACAAGGATGTACAAGTTTGTACAAGGGTGTACAAGTGTGTACGATGTGTAAAAGTTTGTACAAGGGTGTACAAGGTTGTACAAGTGTGTACAAGGTTGTACAATTGTGTACAAGGCTGTACAAGTGTGTACAAGGTTGTACAATTTTGTACAAGGCTGTACAAGTGTGTACAAGGTTGTACAAGTGTGTACAAGGCTGTACAATTGTGTACAAGGTTGTACAAGTGTGTACAAGGTTGTACAAGTGTGTACAAGGTTGTACAATTGTGTACAAGGCTGTACAAGTGTGTACAAGGTTGTACAAGTGTGTACAAGGTTGTACAAGTGTGTACAAGGTTGTACAAGTGTGTACAAGGTTGTACAAGTGTGTACAAAGTTGTACAATTGTGTATCAGGTTGTACAAGTGTTTACAAGGTTGTACAAGTGTGTACAAGGGTGTACAATCGTGTACAAGGATGTACAAGTTTGTACAAGTTTGTACAAGTTTGTACAAGTTTGTACAAGGTTGTACAAGTGTGTACAAGGATGTACAAGTTTGTACAAGGGTGCACAAGGGTGTACAAGGGTGTACAAGCGTGTACAAGCTTGTACAAGTGTGTACAAGGGTGTACAGGTTTGTACAAGGTTGTACAAGGTTGTACAAGGTTTTACAATTGTGTACAAGGTTGTACAAGTGTGTACAAGTTTGTACAAGTGTGTACAAGTTTGTACAAGGTTGTACAAATGTATACAAGGGTGTACAAAAGTGTACAAGGGTTCACAAATTTGAACAAAGGTGTACAAGTGTATACAAGCTTGTACAAGTGTGTACAAGCATGTACAAGTGTGTACAAGGGCGTACAGGTTTGTACAAGGTTGTACAAGTGTGTACAAGGGTGTACAAGTGTGTACAAGGTTGTACAAGTGTGTACAAGCTTGTACAAGTGTGTACAAGGGTGTACAAGTGTGTACAAGGTTGTACAAGTTTATACATGGTTGTACAAGTGTGTACAAGGTTGTACAAGTGTGTACAAGGTTGTACAAGTGTGTACAAGGTTGTACAAGTGTGTACAAGGTTGTACAAGAGTGTACAAGGTTGTACAAGTGTGTACAAGGTTGTACAAGTGTGTACAAGGTTGTACAAGTGTGTACAAGGTTGTACAATAGTGTACAAGGTTGTACAATCGTGTACAAGGTTGTACAAGTGTGTACAAGGTTGTACAAGTGTGTACAAGGTTGTACAAGTGTGTACAAGGTTGTACAAGTGTGTACAAGGTTGTACAAGTGTGTACAAGGGTGTACAAGTGTGTACAAGGTTGTACAAGTGTGTACAAGGGTGAAAAATCGTGTACAAGGATGTACAAGTTTGTACAAGTTTGTACAAGGTTGTACAAGTGTGTACAAGGATGTACAAGTTTGTACAAGGTTGTACAAGT